TCATGCAGTTTAATTCTGTTCTGGTGGCATACAGAGCCACAATAAAAGTCCACTCTAAAATGTGCAGTTTTATCACACAGCACAATGATGGGCAGATGTCGCAAGTTTTGAGGGAGCGTGCAATTGGCATGCTGACTGCAGGAATGTCCACCAGAGCTGTTGCCCGTGAATTGAATGTTCATTTCTCTACCATAATCCGTCTCCAAAGGCGTTTCAGAGAATTTGGCAGTACATCCAACCGGCCTCACAACCGCAGACCACGTGTAACCACACAAGCCCAGGACCTCCACATCCAGATGGTGGTCACACCAGATACTGACTGGTTTTCAAAGGAGAAGTGCTCACTAACAGATTTAGACAGATTTGTGAACAATATTTGAGAGAAATAGGCCTTTTGTGTACATAGAAAAAGTCTTAGATCTTTGAGTTCAGCTCATGAAAAATGGGGGCAAAAACAATAGTGTTGCGTTAATAATTTTGTTCAGTGTATATGGAGCTAACTGTACAAATGAACATTTTATTAAGTAATAATCAAGTAAACGTGCTTCCGTCCATTAAATGTTCATCTTAAAATACTACAAACTGCACAAATATACAGTTTCGATGGTACGTAAAACGTGATATAAATAAGAGTATGAAAGTGTCCACTCACACATTCCATAAGGTAAAGAGCCTCTTCAGGAAGCAGGTACTGCTTGCCACTCTCTGAAAAACCCATCGTCTGCCAAAACTTCCCCTGCAAAACATGGCATAATTACTGAGAGTGGCCTAGCTATGAACAGATGGAGATTTCATTTGGTGTCTGTCATGGACTCAACTGCTGGTGACTGCAGCTCCACTAGTCTTTCGTCAGGGATCCAGACAGCTTTCACTAGATTCCCTCTGTGCAGACGGATAAGACACACAAACACAGCACCACATTTCTTTCTGTCTTCTTAGCTGTCGTGTGTTGTGTAGTAAGTGAGTGTGTGTTTTTATGAAACCACTCACAGTCTCTCGACTCTCTCCTCGGCCAGGAGCGTCCAGTGCTCGTCCAGACTCTGCTGCAGACGGGCCGTCTGCTGCTCCGACCCACTGGGCAGGAAGTCTTTCTGACCCCTCACCGGTATCTTATGGCTCCGGGACCTCGCCTCAAACAGCTCTGATGGACTGCATGCAAAGCCAAGACAAATACATAGAAACGTGATATAAAAAAACATATGTGTAACAGGACACAGTTGACATGTTAACATGGTCTCATACTGACAAAATAAAGATGATAAAACAGAGGTAGCGACAGACCTTTTCTTCCATATTGTGACGTACATCAGAGTGAAACACATTAACAATAAAAAAAAAAATGTTGTTGATTAGATGCTAAAATGTGGCCGTTGAACTCAAAACTGGAGGAAGATGAACATGAGATGGCAGGGACGGAGTTTAAGATGCAGTTATAGCATTTTGATTTAACATTATGAGAATTATTTTATTATTTTTTATTGTTATTTTTTTTACAATAAAATATATAAAGCATGAATAAGTTAATAAATAATAATAAGTGAATAAATTAGTGAATTTTTATTTTAATCCAACTTTTTTTTGTTATATGAACTTCTATAAACTTATGTATGTATAATTTTATTGCTTTACCTTTGTCATAAACCCATACATTAAATGTCACAATATATAAAAAATACATTTATACAAATATTATTATGTTTAAAATAGAGCCCGACCGATATATCGTTTTGCCGATATTATCGGCCAATATGAGCCTGTCGCCGGTATATCGGTATCGCCCTTTTTTTAACTCCCTAATATCGGTATGGTATCGGCCCCGAAAAACCCATATCGGTCGGGCTCTAGTTTAAAACCATGAACATACTTGAAACATTTCAATTCTGATTGTGTGAAAATCATTCGTATCAATTATTTACACAAATCATGAATGTCTCGGTTTATCATTTTCACTCGAACATGCTTGCAATGTAAAGTAAAAACAAGGTTACTTTAGAGTACTTTAGAGCTGAACATTTCTATTGTGTCATTTGCAATCAAGCTGTAATTGTCGAATTATGCAACTAGTGTGAAATTATTATGTCTGTATTTAAGATATATACAATTATAGCTACTAAATTAGTCTGAGTAAGCCTAAAGCATGTGAAATTTTATAGTAAAATGTTCACACTGTCATTTTCACCACAGAATGATATTAAAGCATTAAGCCCCGTGAAGCCGTGGTTTACAGTGAATTTATAACAGCTAAGGGGCGTTGTTAGGTACGACGCGAAGCTGGAGTGCCTAAAACCCCCTTAGCTGTTATAAATTCACTGTAAACCACGGCTTCACGGGGCTTATAACCGAAATGAACATCCCATAAAACGGTTATTCCATATACGTAGTAAGGGTTCACAGAATAAAACATATATTATAAAAAATAAAGAGTAATGATATAAATAAAAACAGTATTCTTCCACCAAACAATGTAGTTCCTCAGAAACAGTTGTGGTTGCAACAAAGTGGTTGCCGAGCAACACACAGAAGTAAACAAAGGTGTATGTTTGTAGTGCAACTACAAACAAATCAGAATCAAGGACCGGAAATATCCGTTTTATAATAAAGAATAATCTGAGCTGTGGTGAGAATGACAACTATTCACCGTGTTTCAAAAAATGACAGACTTCTACTGTCTACTATTGGAAATTTTTGGTAGACAAATGTGATGCTGTGTTTGTTTTAAAGGAGCACTCATAGAAACACCAGCCATAAATGATCACCTGTACTGTGTAACATGCTCGGATGGAAACAAATGTGAGTTGATCCTCACGTATTCAGATGGTCATTAAAAAAACTGCAGCAGATACATTTCTTTGAACTGACTAAATTTTCTGTCATACCCATGTGTCACGTGGTCTAACTTTTGCTTGCTTGTTTGCTGGCTAGCGCATGTTTCCTGTTTCCAGCATGACACAGGAGTGTTACTTCTGTTTGTGTTACTGCAAGAACAAATCAATAAACTAACGTTTTCTGTCTTTGTTACAATGAATAAATGATGACGGTTACCTGAGCAGCTCCTCATAAACATTGTGTTTGTGAGCATCTGTGGATGTGTCTCTATCTGCCATGTTTACTTCTGTCTGTCTCTGTCGTTTCAGGGTCCTAGTGCGCAAAGTCTCTAGACACGATACATGCGATTGAGCGCCTTTACCAGTAGATGGCAGCACAGCACATAGTACACATACGAGTCGTGCAGGGGTTACGTATTTTTGTAGGCCAAAACAAAGATGCATTTAACACTTCCGGTTACATTTTCCTGATATCAATGTTTTGTGTGTGTGTGTGTGTGTGTGTGTGTGTTTAATTAAATGCCTGAAATACGGTCTGTGTTTAACACAAGCTTAATATATTGCCACATTTTATTATACAACATAAAATACATCAGTAATACCTCCTTGTGATTTTTAAAGCTTTTACTTGTCTTGAAAAAGAGTCTGTTAGGGACCTTTAATGTCATGGCAAACAGGAAACCCCATCTAACTCAATGTGTTTACAATCCCGCTCTTGCAAAATATTCTACATATTCTATTATTTTTTAATAAAGACTGAAAGAGTTGTTGGATGTGTACTGATGGTGACATTGAAATCATGTGACCCTGTTGTAGTTTGTTTATGGCCTAAACCTAAGCTTATGGCCTAAACTGCTTTTACGTGTCAGACAAAAAAAAGTGTTAATTTATGAAGATTATCATAATGAACGCAACTGGTAAGAATGATAAACTTTTGTTGGTCACAGAGCTTATTTTCTGCAATAATCCAAAACTCAATGACAAAATCCTGTTGGGGTTTTGTCAAGGGAACCAGTGTGATGCCTTGCAGGTTGGCCTACAGAAGTACATCATCCTTGCAAAAACTCACAAAAGAAGATATTTTGAGAAATGCTCCAGTTTATTTATTTTATTTTTTGTCCATACATTGGAAGTCATTGTTTGATTTCCCAGTGTTCTTCAAAGTATCCTCTTTTGTGTTCCACTTAGAGTGAGTGCCAATGACAGAATTTTCATTTTTGAAAATGTATTTTAGTTTTAATTATACTAAATACAATTAGCTAACCTTTAGAGAGCAAGCTGTTGACACACTTAAGTAGGACTTAAAAACATCTTCATATGTGACTTCTGAGTTTCCTAAAAATATGAACAATATTAAAGTGTACTACCATACCAGCATTTGTGGTATACTAAAATATACTTTAAAGCTATTTCTACCGATTTCCATGAATATTATTTATCTCCACGATACCACTGTCAGGCAGACCACAACTTGTGCACGACTTTCAAAAAGTCATATGAGAGATTTGTGAGAGGAACAGGAAGCTTTTTGGTTAACAAATGTGGTCATGATGAACTTCTGAGCGGTAAAAGTTCACTATTTTTGGTCCACAACAAAAAATAACAGCGTTGGGGCGAACAGATTTTTAGGTGAACTATTTAATCCTTTAACTGATTGATTTTTGGTGGTCTTTTCATAGTGAAGCACACTGGCTGCTGCCCCAGAGGCCACTCTGCTGAAGTGTTTTCAGGGGTATCAGGTGAAAGGTGTGAATGGTGACGTGTGTTTGGCCGTATCGCGCATCCAGCTCTCTTTTGTTTGACCTGAATGGTCACAAAGCTGAGCCACCTGACCCCAGCGATGAGACAGACACCTCACAGACCCAAACACTGCCAGTACGGCCGCACTTGCAGCTCCTCCACCCCCTTCCTGCAAGTCAACAATAAAGCATGTTTCCAGTAAGCCGGATAGCTTCCTAAATCCTGGCCATTACCATAGAAACAAGCGTCTTAAGCTGACAGTGGTGTCTCTCTTGACCAAATGAGGCCACCCATGCAGAGAAATGCATGGCACAGCATGACATGTTCTGTACGTATATATAACCTCCCCGAGCTTCTGATGCATCACATCCTGTTCTTGTGTTTATAGATACTCTTATGGGTCATTCCTGCTATTCCTGCATCTCTATAACTCACCATGTATTGTATCTTCTTTTTTCCTCGTGCACAGTTAGGCATACTTTTAAATAGTGCAGTTTGTAACTTTTGTACGTTTTACTTTGAAGTACATTTTCAATTCTTATGTTTTAATAGTCTTTTAGAAGTGCACTTATTTTGATGTGTCGACTAAAGCACATATTTAGAAACAGTCATGAAAGTGTCTTTCTTTAAGTGCACCTAAGTCATGTATTATCTGCAATAGTTTTGTATTTTAATAAACTTTTAAGATTTGAAGTACACTACAAGAGCATAAACTTCAAACTAGGTTTCAAATGGTTTAAAACTTCTAAATAAGTCTTTGTCAAGCAATTCTGCATTGATAGCATTTTGTTTAGTATCCATATGCAAATGTAATATTTGTACATTTGATGTTAAATTTCCTTATATGAAATATATTGTCAAATTAAGTAAAAACATACATGAAACCTATTAAATATTGGAACATTTTCATATATTAACCAGTGGTGGGGGTAACACAGTTACATAATCAGATTACATTTTTTAAGTAACTAGTAACACATTATTTTTACATTTATTTAAAAAATAATTTTGCTATAAGTTTGATTGCATCATATAATAATTGCAGTTAATAGTTTTCATCTTCTGTTTGATTACGTCTTTAAATTATTTTTCCGTACATTTCTGCCATATGTACATTAACTGACAGTCACCACTGATAAGCTACAACTAAATATTGTAGAAACCTAATTTGCTGTAAAGTTGCTTTGCAACGATTTGTATTGTGAAAAGCGCTATACAAATAAACTTGAATTGAATTGAATTGAATGATTTTATCCAGAAAGTTGGCAAAACAGTGTTTATCCATTCTGAAATGGAAGGTTTAAAGGATAAAAGGATAGGATTAAAATCCCAAAGTAAGCCTGAGAAACGCAAATTTACCAAAGCAAACTAAACTTTCCCAAATAGGCCTAGAGTTGGTAATCAAGTTGACCTTTTAATATGACCTCTCTGGCTATCTGTTTTAGCATAGTGTTTTGCGAACCAATGGTCTGGACAAAAGTGGGGGGAAAAAACCAACATCTCTGCCGGTTTTAGACGAGACAAACCCAATTCAGTGCATTAAACAGCGGATTAGAGAGTCGCATACTATGAAAGACTTTCACACATCCCAGGCCCCGGCAGTTAAGCGTTCCTGAATGGGACGAAGAGAATCACACACAAAGCTTTCACGTCACTGCTGGACCAGCACAGGGGCTGTTTGACGTAACTGACCACAAATCTGTAAAACTGTACAATGAACAATGTAAAACATTTACAATGCCCATTCAAGACGTTCATGCAGCTGTAAATGATTGGATATCATATTGCCATGAAACTACATTATTAAGATAATTCTTGTGCAGTGCTATTAACCTGACACAAACCAGCTGATATACCCCAAAATGTATCAATTTATGCATTGTTAATGCTTACTGAAGGTTTCCAAACATCCTAGAAGATGATGTCAAGGAAGGGAGCTTTACAAAAGAATAGCCCAACTAAAAAAATGTAACTAAAGATATATAATGTAATTACAGCTGAACTTTCGAGTGATTTTCAACCCACTTGACTAAGTACATCTTTATATGTAATTTCACAGTTACTTCTATTGTCTATGAAATATGGTTAAAGGTGTCATATGATGCGATTTAAATTTTTCCTTTCTCTTTGGAGTGTTACAAGCTCTTTGTGCATAAAGAAGATCTGTAAAGTTTCAAAGACTAAAGTCTCAAATTTTCACCGTGGACGAAGTGGAGTCCAGCCCCAGGTCATCACATGTGGTTGCCGCAAGCCTGCCGGCCTCCGCTCACTCAAGCAGCGCATTTTATGGAGGACTGTTTCCTGATCCTGGGAGAGTAGACTACAATGCCGGCTGTTCTGACTCTGCTGAATGTACTCACAAACATTTATTGTAACTTAAATATACTTTATTGTCATTTTTATTGAAACTTGTATGTTAATTGTCAAATGTCACTTTAGTACATTTAATATATTTTAACTTCTAAATAAAATATTGAATAACACACTACAGTTAAATGAATAATCAGGTACTTATGTACACTTTTAAAAAGTGATTTACTAAATCGCAAATTCATCATTACAAATATGTAACTACAAATATATGCAACAAGTACAAAATATATAGTAATTTAAATAAATACATGATGCGCACGTTTCAAAAGAAATTACACTGAGGCTTGTCAATACATTCAGCAGTAAACTTATAACCATAAAAATAACCATATTTCATATAATGGTGTACTTAAGTACTACTTAAGCAACTAAAAGCAAGTAAGTTCAACTAATTGCGTTTAATATAAATTTAAGCTATAATGCATTTTTATTTAATTGCAATTAACATGTAATTACAGTTTTTTTCAACTGCTTACACACATTTTCAAAACTTTGCCTCGTTTTTCAACACTTTACACACAAATCCAAGAATTGCACACACAAAATGCAAATTGCCTCACATCTCTTGCAAAATGAAGCACTGCATTCAAAATATCACAAACACATCTCAAAAGCAAACATTTGCAAACACCTTTGCCATAATATTAATTCCTGTTAAATTTGTGTGTGTTACATAGAGTATTGTGTGTTGTGTTTTGCAAAAAGAGTTTTATGAAATTGAAAACTGAGTCAAAGGCGGAGAATTAGTGTATGGTTTTGCAGATTTTGTGTGTGGTTCTGGTGTTTGAGTGTGACAATTGTGTGACAAGTAAAAATTTTGTGTGTAAGCAGTGTAAACTGTAAGTGTCATAAATCATTACATTCAGTTCGCCCTTAAGTATATCCTTTTAAAGTATATTATTTCTGTAATAAGTACTCTTTTTTTTATAAGTATACTTCTTTTTCACAACTTTTGAGGTTTTTGATGGTCTGCTATGGGAAAAGATCAATCTGAAATAATAAACCTTCAAGTCAAACCACCTAAAGAACTAGAAATTAAGCATTAGCGTTAGTTCTGGCAGGTCACGTGAGTCAAGCTTGCATCAGCTGATTCTCAGCTGATCACATCTACCTTGCTAAGTATCTATCATTTTGACGATAGTGGTCCTGACAGAACTGAGTTTAATGGATGAAAGCACCCAGCATCTGACAAATTATAGGCAAAAGTTTGTGATGGAAATGTATGTGATCATTCATTACAGGAAAACCGTCGACTTTTAATCTATACAGCTTGAAAGCTATAGAAGAAGTCAGAAAGTCAAGTTTGTACGAGAACTTTATGATATCTTTGTCAAGGCAGAACAATTGTTGTTGCATTCAGTGTTCATAAACTTCCAGTGACTCCAGATATGAGCTGATGAATGTGTGTATGGCATACAGGCAGCGCACTGCTGACTTTCCTGCACAAGGTCACAGTGTTCCACTGCTGGCTCCCTCAGGGAGATTCCACACTTCTAGAATGTTCTAGCTGATTCCCTGCATGGCTAATTCTGTTCTTATGTGTGAGGTGTGTGTGTGTGAGGTGTGTGTGTGTGTGTGTGTGTGTGTGGACGGGGGGTAGATTCCTCCTTTCTCTCCGGTGTGTTCAGCCTTTAAGTCTTGGCTTGTTTGCATTCCTCTCAGTTAATAAGTGTTTGTCTGATCCCAGAGCAGGGGCTAAAGATCACCCCACGCAAACACACGGCCCCTCCCTCTCCTCGCTGTAAAAGAGCCAGCGAGAGGGACGCTGAGCTAATGAGTGTCATAAATTTCATGGACCTTCAGCTCATCCATTAACCATGATAATATCCGGGGGACCAGCACAGATCAGATCTACCACAGTGGGTCATGTGACCTGTCTGCATGCTAACACACACACATACATTCACTTTGATGGTTTGGCTTTCAACCCTGTTTGAAAGGCCAGTTTATTGTGTGTTGTGTTTCAGTCCGCACACGTTTCTTTACTTGTGTAACTAGCGAGCCTTAAAAATGTGGACCAGCACCAAACCAGCATAAACCAGCCTGGCTTTGCACACTCTTATGAAAAAAAGCATAAGAGTTTACTTTTTTTTACACTTTAGCACTTAAATTAGGCTTAAATTAGGAATAATATGAACAGAATGGAATGTTTTTGGACATTTAATTGCATGATATTTGCAATTGAAAATGTATTATACAATTTAAATTGACATTAAATGCAATTATTTGAACTCTGAATTGTTTCAGATGTACTTAAGTAAGACTTTAGTACATCCTTACATCATTTCATGGTCAGTTCTCTTTGAAATATGGTTAAAGTGAACTGCTGAATGTATTGACAAATATGTATGATAAACTAAAATATATTTCATTGAAATTTCTATTTAAATCTAAACTTGTATGATGTGTATTTATATATATATATATACATATATATATATTTGTAATTGCACATTTGTATTGATGAAGTTGCAATTTAGCACATTTAAAATATATTAACGTTAAATGTAATATCAAATAGTTACAGTCAAATACTTTATGTGTGCTATATATTAATCAGCACATCAAATTAAGAGTACTTCTATAAAGCACAACAAAAGAATATTTACACGATTTACATTTTAATTTGACATTATTACAAAGTGCACTTTTTAAAAGTGAGACAATAAACAGCCGTAAAAGCTGTTATAATGACATTATCTGCAAGTATGATTTTTTTTTAAATATACTTTAGAGATTTAAAGTACACTACAAGTGTTTTACACAAGGTTAGAAATTATAATTTTTTTTATTATCATCATTATTTAAATGTTTAAAACTTTCACCTTTAATGTTTTATGTGTGGTACTTGTACAAAACCTAAACAAATGGCACTGAAAATGTTATTTCTGTACCACTAACAGCAAACAATAAAATAAGAACCATAAAATAATAACAGAATCATTTTCGACATATTAAATACTGCACAGTATACAATACACTTCCATCAATTTCAAAAATATTTTTTTTAAATAGTGATACGTTGTTGTCACAACATTGGTCACATGACCTAACAATTTGCGTGTTTAATTAACATATTCGGCATCCATTTATCATTTTATTGTAAACGCATCCTAAAGTGATAGTTCAATCAAAAATGAAAAGTGTCACTATTTACTCACTCAAGTCCTTCCTAAACTGTATGATTTTCTTTATTTCTTCTGCATAACACACACACACACACACACAAAACAGTTTTCTCCATGAAATTACGACACTAAATGCCACTTACTTTCAACATATGGATAAAAAGGCCATACAAGGTTTGGAATGACATAAGGTTTAGTAAATTAATTTTCATGTTGAACTACGTCTTGTTGAACTAAGTCAAGAAAGGATTGAAAGTGTCAAAATGCTTGTTTTTTCTTCTGGTTCATGTTGTATATACTGCATTTGTATGCTATTTCATGCACACAGAAAACATATACACAGTATACATACTTATAGCATAAATAGTAGTGTGCTATTCTAAACACGTTCAGAGTTGTTATGTCTGACCCAGTCTGGCCTATCAAAAAACCCATCACAATCCCGCTCGGTGCCACTACTGGCAAAGAAATTACACACTTCACCTTTCAAAAACGGTATCAGTGTTGATTAGAAAGGGAAATTACTTCAGAAGTCTGTGTTTCACTTCATCCTCCATCTGTTCCAATCAAGTCATTTAATTGGAGACGCAGCCACCATTGCTGGGGGTGGAAAACAAGACGAGAGTGTGTTTAGAGTTGCATTGGAGAAAGCCTTGGCCGAGCCCATCTACGAGGGGGTCCCAATTTGGATCCAGCATTGGGGCTTTTGTCAGGTTTTTGTCACCACGACCGCTCACCTATTGAAGGCAGCGTCTCAGATATGTAAAGCAGCGTCATTTTAAAGTCTTTGCTCCACTGGGAAACAAACAAAGAAATAAAGAAATCAAATCAAGGAAAAAAAGAGTATCTTCCCTGAGTAGCGTAAAAGGCCCTGGCAGAGGCATGTGAGGGAAATAAATAAATAAATGCAAAAACGGAGTAGGCTGAAAGAGTGTACTATGCTCTTGTTTGCTTAAAGTAGGCTTTTTTCTTTTCGTTGAGCGAAGCCAAGTCCTGCAGTCGGCTTGGTGCGTCTCCCACCCAGCATTCAAAGGCAGGCCCGGACTTGCCAGTTCAAGGTCGAGCCGCGTCCGCCAGCATCGCGCACGGTCTTTCCCTGGCTACCGTGGGCCTTGTTTATGTTTGTTTTTTTCTCTCTGCAACTCTCCGCTGTAATTCTCTCTCCCTGCGGCACCGGCTCTCTCGAGGCCATGGTGAGATCAGGTGTCAGGTGAGCTCTTCTCTACCTGCGTTTGTATGTGATGAACGTTTAGCACCTCTATTGTTTCTTGGTCTCCACAACAGAAGCTTCATCCTTGACACCTATGAGATTGGATAACCTTGAGCCAACAAACCTGAAGGTGCCATTCGGTTGCCATGTTCATTTCTTCAAAACATAGGCTACCCTTGCTTACATGCGACAGGTCTGACTTGTTGCTATTGTCATGCTATGTAAGGTTAAGCTGTTATATAATGCAAAATGAATGAGATTTGGTTCTCTTGAAGAAACCGAAAGCAGGTACCTTTGTGACTATGGTAGACTCACAGGCTAGAAACGTTCTGAGAAAACAATACCCTACAGGCTCATTTAGCTTTGCAAAGACGTAACGTATACAATACATTTGATTACTCTTTAATCACTGTGAATTTTTCATGGGAGGTGCCCCTGTAGTTATGAAAATAATGAGGAATTGGTGGTGTTTACTTCATCAAATTAGAGAAAATGCCTGATATACTCTTCAAAATAAAAATTTTTTATTGGCATCATGGTTTCATGATAAACCTTCTAAGAATATTTTAAGAACTGTTCACTGAAAGGTTCTTTGTGAAACCCAAAATTCTATGGCATCACTGAGAAACCCCCTTGTGGAAGCTTTATTTTGAAGAGTGTTGCTGTAGGACCGGGTGTTTGTAGTTATTAATAAATTCCAATAATTCAAATGAATTTATAGGTACAACTTTATTTTACAGTCCTGTTTTACTTGTACATACTATTTACTTAGTATAGTAATTATAATAGGTAGTAGCTATATACTAAACCTAACCTTAATATGTTAAGTCCATGATGTTACCTTATATTCAGTATTTTTTAGGGTAATGCATGTACTCTAAATTGGAAATTGCAACAGTTAATTCAATATTATTTCAATAGATCATGTGAAAATTCTGACATAAGCTGCTTCCAAAACTGCATACTGGTAGTTGCTACAGTACATTTGGTTTGGTTACTTCATGACCATTTAAAAAGTATGTCCTAAATATTATGAATGTGTGCAGTATGAATGAAATCCAGACACACTTAATTTGTCACATATTTGACCTTCCAGTGACAGTTGCATCTTTTCACTGCCATCCTCTCCTGTGGCCTCACGGGATTGTTCATCAGATATATGATCATATTGATATTATTCATATTGATATCACCAGAAGTAGTAGGTCATCTGAGTACTTTTCATCTACCATTTTGCAAATACTGTGAATTCAGACATAACACTCTTTTCAAGTGTTGTTCGCCTGCTATGTAGGGAAGCATGCATATTTGGACGCAGCATCTGTTTTATGATTTTAATTGTCGGATACAGTCAAAAAAGTCAAGACCAGACATGGCTGGGCAGGCCAAATGAACCATTTTAATGTCAAATTGACGCATATTTTTAGTGTGATTCAGCAGTGCAATTTCATATATATTAATGCACAAAGAAATGGAGAAACACACCGTTAATATCTAATTTTCTCCCAGTTATTTTTCACTAGTTGTTTAGCTTAAATAAGAACAAACCTTAGCTAAAAATGGAAAATGGAAACTTCCATTGTCAGTCGTTTTAAAAACTTTGGAGTAAATCGGTTCAGTTAAATGTGCCCATAGATCAGATGTATCCATCTCACTTTCAATAAACAATGCTTCTTCAAATTGCTTTTTGTTCTTTATAAATTGCTGTGAGAAATAAAAGCTTCAGTCACGCCAGGCTGGATTCATACTCGGTTTAACAGTACAGAAGTGGCACCGCTCCACAAATGGGAACACGTCGCACAACATTGGAAACCCTTCGTTTGAAACGCATCTCTACTCATTAGCAACCTGATAAACAGCACTATTAGAGATGATTACAATGAGCTGTGCAAACAGTAGGAAATGGCTTTGTCATGAGGCTCTTTTGCAGGCTCACCAGCACCCCCAAACACCTACAAAAGAGCATCACAGCCCTGCGTAATGAATAAAGGGCCTCCCACCGTTTCACTACGTATTGTTTTCCCTATGCTCGCTCACTGTGTGTATTGCTGCCTAAGCTGGTGATGGATGTCGGATTACTCAGCCGCTAGTGTCTCACTAACAAAGAGACGGTGGCTCTGAGAACACACACCAAATACACCGGCCACCTACATCCCAGCATGTCATGGCCCACTGCTTCGCCTGACCTCCACGTCTCTGATATCAGCGTTCATGTGGTAATGATGCAGGGCACAGCTTCATTGTGTAGGCTTGTTGATTTTTGTCGAACAGGTACAATATCTCCTGTCTGTGTAGCAATATATCATATAAAACCAAACACACAGTAAGCTGATGGCTTATTGTTCGTTTAGAGTTTGAAATATCTTACCAAAGCAAACTTTAAGGAAAAGTTTTCTCCAGGTGATAAACACCTTTGAAATACTATTGGTCAGGAGCGATGATGCAATAGGTGGGTGTGGCTCTGTGGCTCCACCTTCTTTAACATGGAAATCTTTCTTCTGTTCAGTCTGTCATGGTCAGACGTGAGTAAAAACATGAACACACTGGAGAGCTGCTTTATAGTAGAAACTGAAGTTGTAACTGTAATTAAAAGCAACACTGACACTGCTTTATCATTTTTAATACTATAAAGCTGCTTGCCTAAAAGCAGTCTATTGTATAAAGTGCTATATGAGTAAACTGGACTTTGTGATGTGACTGGACTAGTGTGAATTGCAGAGCTTGTGCAAACATATCCACCTCGCTCTGATCAGATGCTTTCTTAACTGCTGATTTCTCACTTCTGTCATTTGTGTGCGTGTGTGTGTGTTTACTTTGTTATTGAGAGGAAAGCGCACAGCACATATTTATATATTCATATAAATGCCACTCTCAGCAGTGTGGATGGCATCTGGACGTTAACAGTAAACAGCTGCAAAGGTATTTCCAACTTTTTTTTTACCCCTAAGCAAAGAACAAAAAGAACTTCACCTTGAGCTGGTCATTTAAAAAAAAAAAAGATTGATTTGTTTGTGAACCGGACATCACTCTGGACCGCTGGCCTGAGGCTATGAATTACAGGTGATAATGTTGTAAATAATGTTAAGTTTCTTGCACATACTGATCG